CGTCTGTGCTTTTCAACAACTTACCATCGAACGTGGCCACTTTATTCAGACCAACAATTAACACACGCCTCTAATGAACGATAATTGACCAAACTTTAGAGTGTATTACTTCCGTCGCCGTGCAGTGCGCTGAGTGTGCTTTATAATGATTCAATGTTCTCGAGGGGAAAGGGTTAAAAGTGCATTATTTTTATGAGCATGCCGTCGTTGCGCGCACAGCCCCGATGAGAAGTAAAAAAGAAAGCTCCACATACGCTACAATAGGGTGTGTTCTCCCCAGTGACTATCCCAAGCTTCCTCGCCAGCAAATAATCTATTTATCGCACGGTGTTGTTAGCCGCCGGAGTGAGAGAAAATGAGAGAAGGATAGCCCCAGCGAATTGAGTACGAGAACTATCACGAGTCCGATTACTTCTCACGTGCAGACGTTCCCCAATTAACTAACACTCACATCATAATTCTACAACTATATAGATTCATTTACGAGCCTTCGCTGAAAAGTTTTTCGCGTGCCTCGACAAAAAAGAATCAATTTTCTAAAGTCAGCGCAAACATGATAAGACGGATATCAGAGCTTTGTGATTCACATCTGTTAAACACAATGCCCCTATTTTAGTCTACTCTGGGTGCGAAGACGTGCAACTACCGGAATAAAGAGAATTCCCTAGAGCTTTAAACGTTCTTTCGTGGTCGAGCGTACGTGTCAGTTTGAGCGAGGTATCTTGGGGCTCTTCTTTTTATGCGGAACACTGCCGCAATGCGCAGAATGACTTTGAGAATTGCTAAAAAAGACTCGTTACTTTGCTCATTTGCATTGTTGACCAAAAAGCTCGTTCCGCGCCTAAGCAATGCGACATTCATATCTTGTAAATAATGAGCTTTTCTTTCTCTCTCGCTCTCACACGCTTGATAAATTAATTAGAGAACGTTGTTTTCCCGTGAAATGCAAGTCTCGTGACTAATTATATTGCTTTGTAGTTTTTTTGTGCGTGCATGAAGAATTATTTTTCTTGGTCTGGATTTTCAACCCGAGTTGTCGCTCTCCCGTATAAAATTATGCGAACTTTGTCAAATGAATAATGAAAATCAAAGAGACGGAATGATGATGCACCTCTTTTCATATCATTATTTTTCGAGTAACGTTCATCTTTTACCTCTAGTGTAACATGATTGTAATCTTTCGGTTTATTCGTTATTGCCCAAAGCAGGAAAAGAAATTGCCCTCCGATGAACAAAAGACAATCGTGATTGTTGCATTTCTTTATTGTTTGAATTGCGGTACACACATCGATGTCATGAATAATTCAAAGAGAGATTCGCTTATTTTTCCGTGAATACTTACAAAGTATCCCGTCAACGCTCTCACGTAAGCCTAGAAAAAGAGGACGAGAAAAATGCCTGAGAACGAAAGAGAAAACATAAACAAAACGAATGTCCTGTGAAAAATAACGATGGAGCGAGAAAGAAAGCGAGGAAAATTTTACGTCGAAAAAAGTGAAAACGAAGCACACTCACTTCCTTTTTTGCTCTCTTACTCTTCTTTCACCTTCCATTAGAAGTCGGCTACAAAAGTAGCTCGAGCAAATATGAGTCATGTAATTGTACGGAAGGAAAAAGAAAGAAAAGAAGCCACCAACCCTGAAACGTCATGCTGTCGACACAATTTTGGAGAAGGGCGCTCCTAATCCTTTGAGCACCCGGGCCAAATAGAAATGATATAATTTCAAATATCAATATTAGTTCTAGCTCGTACCGGTGATGAAGGGCATTACTTAACTAATCAAGTTAATCTCGATCACGCTTTTGCAAAGCGAAAAGCTCCGAAACCCAACGACTACACCTACTATTCGTATGCAGAGCAGCAATCATAATTGACCTCTGTAAATCTGACCGAAACACATACCAATGTGTATATAGAGCCAAATTAACCAGAACCACGCTTAATGATATAATAAAGTAGCTCTAACGTGGCGAATAAACATTCGATCTATTAGCATTGACAAACATTATTATAGCCTATACAATGTCCACTCTGTAATAACAATCATCGTAACGCAGGATAAATCCGATGAGGCAGAAGAGAGGCGTAATAGAAAACACGATATTAAAATGTACTATGATTCACTGTCGGAACAATATGTTCAGGTTGTTGACACTCTAGCGAGTTGCATTTTCCGTGAACTTTGTATAACGTGACTTGATTACATCGCCAGTATGTCAACCCTCCCGGTGGGCTTACACGGGGAGCGAGACGAAGGACGAAAGAAAAAAAAACGCGCACATTCACGCCGTCTGGGAAATCATGGTCACATTCATGGATTATTATTTGTCACCTGCCGCCGTGATTAGTATGCGATATCGCGGAGCACGCATCAAGTGGCCTTATTCGAGCAAGTTCATTAGCGGGCGTAAGGTAATTAGTCGATGTCTTATATAAAGCAACCAATGGTTTGGAATAACGTGGGACGGCGCGGCATTTGTTAAATGAACCCGTTGTCCAAAGGCAAACAATGAATCACTCGGGTGCCGGGTGTCGCTTTTGAGCTTGATGGTGTTTATCTTAACTTTCCCCCCAGGGAGATATGACAAGTATTATTTAAAGTTGTTTACAGGATTTTCGTTGCTAAGTAATTAATAAGTAATTAACCGCCAAATTAGCTTATATGCCTTCAATTGTATGTGTATACCTTCCACTCTCACGTTTCGCGGTATAATTTTGAATTAGGATTTCTTCGCGTAGCACGAGACTACCATGTTTTACATTCTAATTTTTTGGCTGATAGTGTACGATTCCAACACCTTGACAACTTTGTTTTTACACGACCAGCAACAATTTGTTTGTTAATACTACACCGCTAAATATCGGTATTTTGGATTTTATACAGCAGTGCGAGCAAATAATTTTCGAGAAATAGAAGTTAGGCACAGTTATAAAATATAAATTACATCCTGAAACTTATGCCAGCTGTTACGTATACGCGAACAAAGTTTTTCTCGAAACTCACAACATAGATATATATATACACATGCAAGTGGAGTAGAATGATCAGCTTAATTCAACAGGTGCTGAATCCACAAGACATTCGAAGAAAAATACATCGTTTTGTAGCTTGCATTTTGTGCCGCTCAATGCTATTAAGACAACGCTACGTTTCACTGCATGTTTTAATTCAAAAGCTGTCCGATGTCAAATGCCATTAATGTCGAGTACTCGTTAGGAGCACACCCTCTTGAAATCAAGTCTTGCGTGAATTTTCATGGCACTATTATGCAAACGAACAGTTCTATCGACGGTGATAAATCTTCGGACTACAAAGTGGACGCTTTTTCTTCAAAGTCATCGAGTTTTTTTCAGATTTTCACAAAGCCTGAGCACTCTACAAGCCAGGATATCTGAGTGCGCCAATCTTGTTCTTTTATTGGTTACAGCTGCGAGACAGCATCATTGACATGCAACGACATACCCTTCTCTGTCGATGTTGCCGAGACATGGTGCTGCAACTCTCAGCATCTAATCAATTTTAAAACTTTCTGATGCAATTCCATTTCCATTTCGTGAAAGTATCGGAACTCGATTTAATTTCATCAAGCGCATGACTGTTTTCGAACGCACCTGCAATAAACTTCCTCATCGTTAACAACGTTTTCTCGAACACACACATACATACACTTGTATATATATGCACACATGAATGGAAAGTTGAATTTCTCTCAGTACCCGCAAACTTGAGCTTTCCTGAATTAGCATACAAGCAGCGTCACCTGTTAAGTTTATATAACTCGAATGCTATGGACATTTTCGTTATATACGTTCCGGTGAGGTGGTCGTGTTCATTCTTGCGGCAATCGAGCTTTTCCTCTAATTAGCTGCAATGACATAGCGAAATGCTGTAATTCAAATATATATGGTTATGAATTTATATCTTTAGATAGTTATACATGTTTATCGGACATTTAATCAAACGTAATATGGAAATCACTCGATCTGCTTTTATTTTGTTTAATATAATATAAACCACACACCGCGTTTTACTGGACAACCAATCATACTGCTTGCCTTGATAATCTCGCGATGTAACATTTTCCACTCCGTACAAATATGCGCAATTTTCCCTCCTTACAATAACTTTACGTGAACATCTCGTGTAAAAAATTGCAGCTGCGCGTAAAAGCGCCGCGAGCTTTATTCGGTTCATAAGATGTTCATTTTATAATTTACACCACCGCGATAACTTGGGCGATGGTGAAAAGAGTATTTTTTTTGTTCCTTTTATTCTCAAACAAATGGGGTGCACCACAGAAGATTAATTATGGGGATCTGTACAAACGAACCTACGCCAGAACCTACACGAAATTCTCACAGTGACCAGCAAAAACACCAGTGATTTACGCACCCCTTAATTAACTACACTTTACTACAGAGAGTTTCAACATTTACCTCAGCAGCTCAAAACTTTGCAGTATTTGTTTAGTCAAACAGTTCACACCGGTGGTGGGTATGCGTCGTCACTGTTGCAGACGCTAAACTTTTACTGGACTATTCGAATATCTTTTTGAGGCTTACTATCAAGTCGTAGACTTATTATTTACTAAACTGCAAATGACAGAGTATATATACACAATAGTAATATTTATTTCGAGTTTTTGATACATGGGTATTTATTCAAAGGAATTTAGAATTTATTCGCACGAGGATTGCACATTTATTTCTTTTTTTAAGAAAGCGTTCACAATTTGTAATTAATCCGTAAATTGAAAAATTAAGCTCAGCTTCTTTAGGAGAAAAGGAAAAAACAAAACCTAATACCGATACAGTTAAGCTCGGTGTCGTCACAGGTAAACTTAGCCACCGTTAATTACTTGTGTTGGCTTAGATCAGAGCTCCGTAATGGTTTTTTAGCTCTCAAAGTTCAATCAGTGATATAGCGAAACAAATTATCAATTCTCTTTCCTCATAAACAGAACAAATACTAATGCGAGTTAAACATTTGTGTTTGCAGGTTCGATCAGCAACATCGACGGCGCCGAGTATCACTGCAATAAAACAGCTATTAGGAAAGTGATTAGTGGCGTGGTTGGAGCGGCGAGCTCCGTCACCTCCATACAAGTAGCGAATCTCCTGCGGCTATTTCGTATCCCTCAGGTTTGTTGATGATTTAATCGATCTGTCTCAGAATAACTAATTCTTTCTAAGTCGTTCTTCTTTTTCCTTTCTGCTTTGGTTTATATTGGTACGAGAAATAACAAGCAAGAAAGATTGATTGTGTAACACCTTTACTTTGTTTCTTATCTTCCGATGTTGTGTCTTTGCCGTATGCCAATTTTATTGACGGACTTTGATTTTTCGGTCGATTGAATACTCGAGATTATTTGCACGATAAGTCTGCTACGGATGAGCAACAAAAAAGTTGGTGGAAGATTTTCATTATCGATAAAAATGTAATACATATAAATTACTGTAATATTTACACTGTAGAGTGCAACTGGTCCAAATGAACCTTGAATTCGCAGCGAAATTAAAAAAAAGACACAAGAAAAAGTGGTGAACCTCTTTTAGCGGTAAGTCGCTCTGAAAAAAATTTGGTGAATGGTTAGTAGTCGGGAGAGTAGAGTATAGATCGGCAAAGAGCTTATACGCGCGTGGAATCCATACACTGATAGTGGTTGCTACGATCGAATCGAGGGCACGGCTGTGCGATTTATAATATTCCACGTGCGCTGAAGAGAGAGAAAGAGGGGGGGGGGGGGAGGTGGGAGAGAAGAGGGACGTAGAAGTTTCGATTACTCCCGGGCCAGTTGATATATTGAGCGGCGATTTCATTTAAACGGCAGCGACCCGTGAGACTTTATTTTTGCGGCCGATGCTACCACTGCTGCTACTACTACTGCTGCCCTGAAAGCATCCTGGCGTGAAATCACCTTAGCTCCCTCTATCTCTTGCGTCCCAGCCACTTTCTCCCCTCTTTTACGCCCGCCTATCTCTCTCTCTCTCTCCCTCACTCTCTCTTTCTCGTTTTTTTCCACCACTTTCCTTACATTTTTTCTTCCTTCATTTCGCACCTGAGATTACGCATTATGAGATTTTACCGTCGTGGCGCATAATTTCACACAGCACGAGAAGAGGGAAATTGGACTTGATCCTCGCTGCCTTGATTGCATTATTCAGAGCTGCAATTTTCCAACTTTGTGGATTAAACAGAGAGAAACGTCTTGTGTGTTTAGACGAGCAGCTGCTGTGTAGTAGGCCGAAGCCGAAGGTTTTTATTAAAGATGACTTATGAAAGGAAACTTTGTTTACCGTATTTTATCTTTGTGGTAGAACCTTCTGAATCTTGTATTCTCGCGCGCGCGTGCGTGTGCACAAAAATTGCATTTTTATCTTAAGCTTTGAACGTAAATTAGCTTATCTTGGTAACCGATTCTATCCATTTATGGCTCACCTTTTACACTTGCTTTCTGATTAAATATGAAAATTCGAAAGAGAATCTCTTTTTTCTCGAATTCCCATATAATAATTAAAAATCTTGTCACGCCAAATACGAACACAATTTTTAATCAATTTCGATCTCAACATGTACAAGCTTTACGATTTTCATTTCCATGAAATAGTTCAATCAATCCTCTTCATCAGTAATTCTGTGAATTTATAGTCTCTATTGATCAGAAAAAGAGGGATATGTTTTTTCGCTGCACAATATATTCTCATAAATATTACACATCGGAAGAGCTATAATACTATCAGATTTTGTGGTTTTCAATTTATTTAAAATTTCTTTAAGCCCCCACAGCTAATAATTTATTTCAATAAGCTGTATTTCATTAATAAATTAATAATTTATAAAAGTTGATTTATTAATCATAAATAGTTTTACTTCTGCAAAGTGCAGAACTACTTTGTCAAATTGTAATTTAACCAAGAATTTCACTTTGTAGAAGTAAAACTTTACGGCCAAATGCATGCACGTTACAAGCTTCAAGTAAATGAGAAAAGTTTGATAGAAAAAACGTAGATCTTAGATTTTTCAAGATGTTCGTAAATCTTGTTCTGAGTATAAATGACAGACAATGACTCTTGTAGAAATAATCATTATCTTCTACATCCCGCTGATCATATGGTGAAGGTCGAAAAGTGAATGTAACTCTTAAATATTTCATAGCTACAAAGTTACGACTACTTGGCACTTTGAAAGTTTTCCTAATAAATATCTTGATCGATATAATTTTAACGAGATCTAGATTGTAGGGCCATACGTATTTAAATCCACAATTTTATCGTTCGTCGGAATCTCCCTTTCAATCTAGAATTTACTTCTTCATTTTCATTCGTGGTAAATCACTAAACCAATAAAAGAAGTGAATTACAATATTCATGATTCCTCAATAAAGCACTAAAGTTTAGTAAGAGGATTGAAAGAAAGTCGAGTAGGATAGAATTTCATAAAAATTAATGATTAGATTAAAACTTGTGATCATGGCATTCATAGAAAGGTGACTACAGCATACTCTCGCTTCGCGTAGATTCAGCGGCGCAGTGAAAATCACGGTCTCGGTGGATGTATATCAAGTATATAGCTGTATATCTCAAGAAGTTAAACTCGCAACGCGCTAGGCGCGCGTCTTCATTTCGAGAGGCCGCTTCGCAACAAGAATCCCTGTGCACGGTCTCTCCTTGTGCCCAAGCTTCGCCACCACAAGTTCCTCTGAACTAGATGCATTCCTCTCACGTAAGTGAGCCTATTTGCATCGTCGACGAGTTTCGATCCGCGAGAACGCGCGCGGTCCTATGCAATCACTCTTGAGAATCTGCCGGATGATGATTCTGCAAGATTCTATGGGCTTCGTCCGAGTATGTACGTGTGTATGTATGCACGTGTGTGTATGTGTGTGCGTGCGCGTCTCTACTATATCGCATAACCCCTGGTGAGAAACTTGAATGCTACCACTTTGCACCTTTAAAAGTCTACTCACCGTGGCCTCAAGTTTTCTATTTCAGTGGGTAATTACTATTCAGCCTGCATGACTAAGCTCATTTGGGCAATACATCTTCCACCGCACGATTGCTAGTTTTATAACGTTTTTCATTTTCATTTTCTTTTCTTGCTTCCTAGATAGAAACAATTTTATTTTCCTTACCCTCTTGCTTTATTATTATTTATTTATCTCAATATATCATTTCAGGCATATTTTTTCCTTCTTTATTCTTTTTCATTGGGTCTTTGTCGAAAAAGCAAAAAACTTTTTTAATAGTTTCTTTTTACACGCTAATAAACGTAAAATTTCAATTACAACAATTGAGGTTATTTTCATCGGCGTCATCAAAAAACTTTCTCTTTCTTGTCGTTTATAGGTCATATTAACGTTCAAGAAACTTGCCACACCAGACTAATGATAAGATTAATGTTTCGCTTCGTTCGCGTGCGACGTATATGAGAACTCAAACTAGAAATTGAGCTGAAACTTGATGGCATACATGTAGTTATTTACGTTGAATTTTAGTTAACAAACTTTCGGCGTGTGATATTTTACTTGACGCCCATTCCTTATCTACGTTTCTAAGAATGTCGTCGAGTGAAGTTGAAAAAAAGTGGAAGAGAAGCTATAGCGGCATGAAAAATGGCCTGCTTACCGGAAGAGAAGCAGCGGTGGGTGCGCAGGGCCGCACCGCGATAAAGGGCACAAAGCAATTTCGTCTCAGACGTTTCCGTAACCTGCTCTTTGCGCGCTGCTGGGAAAAGATTTACCCAATTGCCACTGCACTACCAGCAAGCCAGCCAGCTTGCCTGTCTACCTCCGCGCTCAGTGCAATTGCTACCCATAATTCGAGGGTAACAAGCGCGGCGCGAGCAAGAACTATAGTGCCTTTGTGCCGCGATGTCGAACTTTGTCAAACAGCTCGATGGTTTAGTCGTAGCCAAAATTTCCAGCAGAAGTGAATTTCTTTAATTGATATTACCCCAAGGATTTTATCGAGTTACAATAAATTGCAGCCGTTGACAACGCTCCATTTGCTACTGCCAGACAACTATTCCGTCTCGCCGTTCGGAAAAAAACCCAACCTATTTGTTTCACGAATACGCGGGAATTTGAATAAATTGCCAATGCACAGTAAATCACCAGAGTAACTTTTGAAGTAAGTTTTAATGCTCGAGTATTACGAGTCATTAGCCCTTGTTAAGGAGCAGGGATACTGAAAACGAAGTCTTGAAAGCGTCGGCGTAGCCAGGTGCCTTTCAAAGGATAAAAGCTTTGAACTTATCATTGTTACGAGCTCTGAGATTGTTAAGAGACAAGTGATTGCGTAGCTATATCAAATGGCGGGCTGGCGTAGAGAACAAGGGAAAACTGTGTATATGAAGGGTATTTGATTGCAAGCTCCGTGAGCGGGAGTTCAACAAGTGCGCGCGCGCTCTGGGGTTTGCTTGGACGATCAAACGCCAAATTCCGCATCTAAGACGCTCTAGCGGTAGTAATCCGGAGTACATAGTATCGGGTAAACAAGACTCATGTGCGCGCGCTCGCGATACGGCTTCCCATCAACTGGCTTTTACTTCTCGTCATCACTTGCGTCCGAGTCGTAAACAACAAAGACATTTTCTTCGCTGAATTGTCCAATTGCCAATGGTTTGCCGTGTAATGAAATCGAACCTGCACGAATAAATGCTGATTCCAAAGTACGTGAAGATTTTACTCGAGCAGTAACAATGCGTACGTGCCGGTAATGACATAACGCCAACAATGTTCCGTTCTGTCGTGTGCATGCGCCGAAAGTAAAAATTCGATAGGAGCTGACATTCGATAGGATGTCAAGCGGCTTTCTCGTACTGCTCTATACGCGCCAGATTATTTTCTTAGCGTATTGTGACATATCGTGAATCCACGTCGCCCGTGAAGAAGAAATACAAAGATACGCCATCAATTTTCTTTTTATGCAACTGCTTTCCTCGCGACGTCGCAAAGTTTTCTGCGTGGCAACTGTTATTGCTCGCGCGCTTCCACGCGATTTATGGTAACGCGGATAAAAAGATATTTATATCAACGGAAATCCAGCTTTGTCGTCAAATAAAATCCATCGCTTTTACAAAGTTCCAAATATATTTAACAAGCATAGCTATTAATTGAAACATAAATCTCAAAAATTTTTCT